TCAAGCAGGCAGCACAGTGGACATTTACCGGAGCATTTTTGTACTCACTCACGGTCATTACTACGATAGGTCAGTGCTGGTCATATTTCAAATACTTCAATGCCATTCTATAGAATTCTTGAAGGCTATGGAAACACTGCTGCGAAAACTTACATCGGCAAAACATTGACCATGTTGTATGCCATCATTGGGATACCGCTAATGTTGCTTTTCCTCACGAATATTGGTGATGTACTAGCAAAGATATTCAGGTAAACTTGGGCTCTTTGTGTAACGTGAGAAGATACAACGTAGAAATTTTTTGTGAAAACTTATTTGCAGATTCTTATACGCTCAATCGATTCGCTTAAAGTATCGTCTTATTCTATGGCACAAGAAAAGAAAGGTGAGGCTGATAATTTTGATGTCAGACTTCAACGAGGCCCCTGTAACTTTTTCAACGTACGACTTTGTAGCCTACAATTGGCAATCACAGAAGTTCGAAAAGAAGTGAAGAGATTTTTACCTGTTTGAAAAGAATTGAAATTAAGTTTTTTCCGCAAAAATTTCTAGAATACTCTCCAAAAATCGCTTTAACTTTTACTATGTTTTTTTTTGTAAAATTTTGCGGTTTGTAACAGGAAGCGCAACATCTCCATTTTCTCCGCTCCCCGCTCCGCCCCCCCCCTTCCCTCCAACGTCCCAAGAATTTTTTGTGCAGCCAACTTGAATTTGATAAGATTGACATTAATAATCATAAACAAGTAGGATTCATCTTCTCGACTTCATTCTATCTTCTTCTCCTTTCTTGCTTATCTTTATTCGTCTTATCATCACTTACCATGCTGCTCATTTCACTCTTCAAGGGCAACAGTTTACTTAAAAATAGTCAATTTTCCACAAAACAGTTTTAGGCAGCAAAAATTCGCCGAGCAAACTCTCTCGTCTCGAGACTCACTAGAGCTCATCGCGTGAAAGCAGATTCTTCTCTAGACTCATTTGCTGTTGGTTAGTTTAACAATAAGCTCCATGTATCTCATTGTCATTTCATCGCAATTTTCTCGCAGGGGGTCCCGATGTGGAAGACCTGCTCACTGCTCGCGTTGAAATGGAACAACTAGAAGTTCGTGAGACGGCCCAAGCTCAGCTCGAAAAAATTAGTGTGCCACTATCGTTGGTAGTGCTTACTATGTTTGCTTATCTGATAGCAGGTAAACTCCATTTTTTTTCAACATATTTTGTAATCCTTATAAATCTACAGGCACGATTTTGTTCAAACTTTGGGAAGGA